ACTAACTTTGGTATTGGGTTGCCAAAAATGTTTGTTTTCATTGAAAAAGTTCCTGTGTTTATTAATGTTGAAACACTTTTGAAGCATTGTGTGCAAATTAGAGATTTTTTCCCCCAATGTTTTGTTGAGCTAACACAGGCCAATTTTGTTACAGCTTAGTATGCAAATAGCTCCGTAGTTGATTAAGCAAATGCAGTTTAAAATTACACCAGTTTGAAAGAAACTTTTTGAACACTAATTAAATTGAACCATAATTATCGATCGTTTTTTAAACCCAATTTAGAAAAAAACTATTTTAACTATCTAATATGAAAATTTTTGTCCAAATCATTTATTTCAGCACTTTTTTTTTAGTTCAATCCTCTATCTGCAAGTTATCGATAACTCGAGTGTTTTTATTTATACTACGCCAAAAAGTTCGTAATAATGATTGGAAATGGTTGAAAATTGAAATAACGTCGCTATAAGCTTTTGCACCGTCATTTTAATAAACCTCATAACCATAATAATTGATTGCAATTTTCGAAACTTGATATCTTCAATATGATATAGAAAAATTCATAATAACTTTTTTGCGCCGATGACCAAAAATTGGTCGGAAAAAACTTCCCAAACGTCAAAATTGGTCGGAAAATTGGTCGGAAAATAACCAAAATTGGTCGGAAAAAACTTCCTAAACGTCAAACTTTCTATGTTTTTCAAACTTCAAAAATTTTTGCGGCTTCTGATGATCGAATTTTCCATTTTGATTTTTAATAAAGACAGGAAATACTTTCCTCCGTTTTTTTTACATTGCAAAATAATCAGAAAAAATTTAGCATAAGCAAGAAAGCTTGATACTTTAGCCCACCTTGAAACATAAACTTTGAATAGAGAATGGCTTTGAAAACTTGATTACAAATATGAAGAAATTATAAAGAGAACACTGAAACAAATTTATGTCGCATTATCCTTCGAAAAGGCGATTTTTTATCTGACTCGTTTTCTCAATTTCTTAAGATTGAAAGTTTTATTTTTTAAAATGCTTTTAGTCCAGTAACAGAAAAACTCAATGAGGCTAAACTTGGCAGAGGAGATATTCTGCAACTAGTCGGACCTTTTGCAGCTAGAAGGCCTGATTTTTCTGAAAAAAAACCTAAATATAAAAAGTTGTTACTATTCTTAATTTCAAGAATATGGTTCAAAAATTTTCTAACACTAGTGTTGTAGAAGTCCACAATGACATGATATTCGATCCCCATACAATCATACGGTGACAGCTCGACTAGCATAAAGCTGGACTAGCATAAAAGTTTGAAAATAAGGAAATCATATCGACTACCATATTTATGATAGCTTTATTTCTCAGAAACACAAAAAGAACATTGAGCAATGGAGAAACTATGCAATCAACAAAAAAATGAAATTAATTATCACGTAAATTATGATCAGTCACACTTAGACATGTAATGGCTTGAACCGAACACTGATTACTGCGCAAATTATGAAACAAATGAGTTAAAAAACTGTGATTCACAATTTTTTGTGAACAAGAATTTTTATTTTGACAAAAAAATATTTTTGTGGATAGATTTTTATGCTAGTCGATACCATTTTCATTTTTGAACTTTTTAGGCTAGTCGATACAACGCCAATCATACTTATGGAGGTAAAGAATGCGATACATTTTTTATGAAGCTGGTCAAATCTCAAGTGAAGCTGACTTAGCAAGTGCTGCAGGACATATCACTGGTGGGGTATTCAATCTATCAGACATAGTCTCAATCTCCAGACAAGAGGAGCTCGGATTTGAATGGTTTTTCTTAGAGCCGTTTGAAAATTAATAAAAAGCAATTGTTCCCCATTGTCTAAAAATATGGATGCTATACGACCTATCGATGAAATGATGTGGTAATTGGACTTGAAGTACTCGCTTTAAGATGCCCTTGAGCTTCTCAGCTGGTTTTAATGAAAACGAGATAAGAAGAGAAAAAAATTGTCTTCACTAATTGAAAGCAGTGGTTAAAAACGTAACAGCTTCCCCCTTTTTACTGAAAGGTGTTTTTAATGCGCGTAAACTATATATATTGAGAACTTGTATGTTTCTGTAAACATTAGATTTAAGGCTCTCAAAATTAGAAAAAAGCGTTACATTCTTTTTTTTGTGAAGTGTGAATAAAGTATCGCATAGGGTACAGGGGTACCTGGGTGCCTTGTTTGTCTTTCACCGATTTATTTTGGCTCTGTCAGAAAATAATTTATAGGGGGTCAAAAGAAGTACCATATTAGGGCCTTCGCCCTGGTCTGAATAAACATCTTGTTAATAATTTCCCTCCTATTGCAATGCAAGGTAACATAGGGGGGATAGTTAACAAGATCCATGATTAATTTTGTTTCCAGAGACTAGCAAAAACTAAGCTGACCTCTCAACTATTTTTTGCACAAGCTATTTTGCTTCCGCGAGCTGAAACTTCGTTAGAGATAATAGCCTTCAAATTCCTTGAAGTTGTAAAACTCGTTTAGTCGCCCTATACTAATACAAATCTTACTGAGAAATTTTCGCGGAGTTAGTATATATGTTTTTATGAAAAAAATTTCTTTCTTAAATCATTGTAGTCAGAGCATTGTGCTACTTGTACAAAAAATAGCTTGTTGCGTATTGCGTCTACATAAATCGTTTAGCTCCTGCTGACGTCTGGTTACATCCCTTACATAGACTTGTGGAGATGTCTTCTTTCCTTCATGCTCCGGATGAAAGAAAGTCAAAGGCAAAGCTTTTTCATGTCCAGTCAACATCATATGCGGATTAATCCCTGTGGTGGAATGTTGTAAGCTCCCATCACGTGTGGCAAATATCTATCCCAATCAGCCATGTATCGGGAACAATACATCCTCAACATCGACATCTGAGTCCGATTTTGTCTTTATACAAAGCCATTCGTTTGGGAATGGTAAGTCTTAGAATGAGCCTGAGCTACTTGAGAATGTCTCATGAGCTACGTAGTCAGCTCTCGTACAAAACCAGTTCCACTGTCTGATTGGAAAGTGAACAAGAATCCGTGTCTCTCTATCCATGTATTGATCAGATGATCTCAAGTCTCTTCGGCTGAGGCCGTTATGCAGGGCACGGCTTGTGCATAATTCGTTAAGTTATTTGTCATCACTAAGACCTGATTGAACCACTGTCTGTCATACATATTTTCTGACGATTGATCTGCACCACTTCATTTAGCTATGATTACTCGATTCACTGTAATGCGAATCACAATTTCCTAGGATCTTCCACCTGTTGGCGTTGGCATGGCAGACATGCCTTCACCCACTTCTCGCATGTCTTCTTCATTCCCGGCTACTCAAAGCGTTTCAAGATCTTCTCGTATACTTTATCGATTCCTTGATGGCCCACCTGCTCATATGACCTAAATAAGAGTTCCTTTTGATAGAGTTGCAAAACACTAACACGTTGTATTTGTATAGGACCTTGACCTCTTTTCTCCTTTTGCAAGCAACAATCCCATCGTTGTTCGGATAAAACCGTCCCTCTTTCTGCATATAGTACTGTCTCAAGATCCGGTAACTATCTTCTTCTAAATCTCCTTTGTCTGGTTCCCCAGTTTCAATCCACCTTTTCAAGCTACTTATCATGAGGTCATTTTTCTGCGCTCTTATCAAGTCCGAGAGTCTGTATCACGCCTTCAAGAATGTCTTCATGACCCTCAGGTGACTGTTAGCTCATCTTCCATCTTAACAAACCAAATAATTGCCAATGGCTTGTCTCTTGTTTGAACGGTTGAAGGTCAATCCTGAATTTTTCCTATTGTGGCAAAAGGCTCATCTAACGTTTCGACACCGCTATCATCTCTATAGACTTTCTCACTCGAGTACAGGTAGATATCACTATCAGGGTCTTGATACACCTCCCTGTTCAAGCCTCTTGCTCGAGTCTCCACCAGTAATGTATAGATCGCCAACTCTGACAATTCTGATCCCGTGCTCGAGTTCCTGTCCAAGTACGTGTCAACCTCAGATTTCTTGATTTCTTCGAGGTGTCTTCGTCAGATGAGTCTGTCGTGGAGCATCTTTCCACGGCAGATTCTGATGTGCATGATCTACTCATCCATCTGAACTCCTCGGACAAAACTTTGTCCACCTGTTCTTGTTCATCTACATATCCACTTCACTCAGTGTCCGACGCCCGGAAAAAATTTTTTGCTTCTAGTTTATCGACTCGGCTTCTATCAGACCTTGATTGGGCGCCTCGAAACCGAATGTTTTCTTCTGAGTCCCGATCTCCTGTTCTTTTTTCTTGTACGGTGTCTTTATTAAAAACGCTTTGAGGAATTGAGGATATTAGTTGCAGAACTAGTGTCCTACAATCCATTTCATTTTTTGTGCTGGCGTCTTAATGGTATTATCCGTACTTTCTCACTGAATGTCAGCAATGCCATGGCTGCTGCCCATTCAAGGTCATCTCTAGTCACTTCTCTCTCCAACAATCCACCCAGCATCCGCATCACTTCTGGTGTGACCTGCACCGTTTTGTCTAGCAATGAGAGGCTGTTCCTGTTGAACAACGTCTGACCATAACAACAGATCCAAGGACACCGGGTCGTTCTTGGATAAACTCCTAAGCTGTACCACTTTCCCCACTGGTAATTCAGGATTTCCTGGTATAGGATGTCCTGACTTGTCCAGCCATAGCGATCTATACAAGGGAAGTGCTTAAAAAGTCTTTTTGTCTAGAAACGAGAACCCTTACTTGATCTCTGCCTGATTGGCCTAATTCTGCTCCAATTTTTCATAAGACTCAGTTTTCTAGCTGGGGCTGTCACCATTTTGGTGCTTGTTACGCATCCTCTGCTCGATTATCATGCGGTAGCCATCGAACCTGACTATCCATCGACCAAGGTAACTATGGTCCATCGAGTACAATTTCAAGCAGGATAAGGCACGGTTGTCCACTTTTTGCTCCTAGTTTATCGACTAGTTTTTGCTCCTTGTTTTTGCTCCTATCTTATTAGCCTAATTGTTGTGATAAACTTATTAAATAGGTTCATGACTGGCTCACGGGATCGACTACCCAGCTCGACATCAACTAGCTGCTGTTCTCACTGCTCATCCACAGTGAAACGGAAGGACAAGGGTCTTCAATGTGACCGATGTGATGACTGGCTTCATCTATCCTGCAAAACAGTACCCGAGCTTTTGTACGAGCATCTTCCTTCTGTGTCTGGGATTCTCTGGGTGTGCAGCAATTGCTTTACTACAGCAAAACAACTTCTCAAAGACAAGTCTGATCCTCATTCATTGAAATTATTTATCGAGAAAAACATGTCAGAAACCCTGAAAAATGTGGTACAATCAGGTATTTCACCAAAAAATGTCGTTACCAAACCTTTTTCTGTTCCTTATCGTCCACTCGGAGAGAATAATCCAGTCTTTGAATAGAAATTGAAGGTTATTGTTGTTAAAGAAAGCACAAATAAGTCTTCCTTAGAACGACAACTGGAAGATAAAACCAGCGTTGATAATGTCATTAGTGACCTTGGAGTTAGTTGTCAAATTCGTGACTGTCATCGTCTTGGGAGATTCAGTGATGGCAAAAATTGAACGCTTCTAGTAACTTTTAATTCTGTTTGGGACTCACGCTTGTGTCGTAGCAGAGCCACTGAGCGGAGATACCACAAAAGCTCTGGCATTCTTATTCTTCCAGAATTGTCTGACAACGACAAAGTAATGGAAAAGGCTCTACTTCGAAAGTGATTCGAAATGCTCAGCAATGGTCATGATAAATCACGTTTGAAAATCCGCAACCTCAAATTACATCTTGACGGCAATATTGTTGAAGTCGAATATTGACTAACCCTAGCTACAATCAACGTCAGAAGTATTCTTTCCCTCAACAAAAGACTCCGTTTAACTAGTTATTTATCCTTACGAAATCCCACGTTTGTTTGTCTTACAGAAACATGGGTAGATTCTTCGTTTACCCAAAGTTTAACTCTTCACACATCCTTCCGAGTATTAGCTCGTCGTGAAAAATCACATGTAATTCACGGCGGTACAGCTATTCTGTTTAGCTGCGGCGTGGCTAGCCGGGAGCTTTTAGGTAGATCCGACATTGGCTGTGCAACTATTGACCTTTTTCATGTCCCGCTCGCAATTATATGTTTCTAAAAACCTCCGGTTAATAGTGCATACTATCATAAAAACGCCGATTTTTTTATCTTCCTGGATTCAATCCTGAAGCGTTTACCAAATGTGTAGCACATCATAGTTAGCGGAGACTTTAACGAACCTCACGTCTCTTGGACGAATTTCGACAGCAACACAGGTTTTTCGGAGTTTCTAGAGTTTCTGTTTCAAAAGAACTTGTGTCCGCTGATTAGCTTCCCTACACATGTTTCTGGGAGTATCCTTGACCAAGTTTTGTCAAATATTGCCGACGTGGCCTCTTCAGATTGCTACGCTCATACGGTTAATTTTTAAGTTCATTTTGCTGTAATGTTGAGGTTTGAACTTGATGGAGTAATAAATGCAAACATGCTTACGGAAACCATGACTATCCCTAGTTTGTCTTTTTCGGATTTCAAGCCGATATTCTCAATCGCTTTTTTTCGTTAACTAAGTCAACAGAGGATCCTCTGTATACAGAGTTTTGGTTTAATCAACCAGTTTAATCAACTACTCCTCCCCTTCTTCAAGAGGAAACGTTCTAACGCCTTACTTATCCTTCATACTACACATACATTACTCTGCATCATCTCAACAAGTTACATACGGCTCGAAAGGCACATAGTGAGTCTGTGACGCAGCTTGAAAGCGACTGTGACCTTTTTATCGAGCTCGATACCTTTCTTTTTATCAATAATTTTACCTGCACTGGTCTACAAGGCTGTTTCAAGTTGATCAAACTGCTCAACAACACGGGAGACATTCCTGGGTTCGTGCTTAGTCAAGGCACGCCAGTATACTGAAATCGCGGAGGCTTTCAACGACTACTTCTGTACAGTATAGCAACCTAATAAGACATCCACAATTGATTTCTCCGACAATTAATTGAACCACGTTTCTTTCGGTAGACAGGAGATTGCAAATGGTCTCGCAAATGCGTCACTTGGCTCTGGCGTTGAAAAACTTCCGGGCTCTTTCTTACGGCATGCAGCAGCGCCGTTATTTTTTCATGTATCTCTACTGTCCAGTTCTATTTTGTCATCTTGTGTTTATCCTAGCAACTGGAAACTTTCCTATGTTTCACCTGTGTTCCAACACGGTGACCGTACTTCCGTCTCCTCATATCGACCAATAAGTATTCTACCTAAATTATCGCTGGTATTTGAGATGCTTCTCTTCAGACATCTGCATGACTTCATCGGACGTAAGACTCACCAAATTCAATACGGGTTCCGTCGTCGCCACTCAACGGTCACTCAATTGATAACCTACCTTGACTACGTTTCACAGAAACTTGATGAAATCGAAAACGTGTATGCATTTCATCTTGACTTTAGCAAGGCCTTCGACAAGGTGCCTCACCACATTCTGCTCCGTAAGCTCCGTGATTTTGGAATTGACGGTAGATTACTCAAGTTACTTTCACGTTATCTAAGCAACCGACGCCAGCGTATTAAGATCCGAAATGCGTTTTCAAGTTTTGAGCACGTTACTAGTGGCGTGCCCCAAGGTTCAACCCTAGGGCCATTGATGAAATCGAAAACGTGTATGCATTTCATCTTGACTTTAGCAAGGCCTTCGACAAGGTGCCTCACCACATTCTGCTCCGTAAGCTCCGTGATTTTGGAATTGACGGTAGATTACTCAAGTTACTTTCACGTTATCTAAGCAACCGACGCCAGCGTACTAAGATCCGAAATGCGTTTTCAAGTTTTGAGCACGTTACTAGTGGCGTGCCCCAAGGTTCAACCCTAGGGCCATTACTATTCTTAATTTTCATCAACGATCTCCCTGATTCTTGTATTAACAGTCTCATGTACTTATTTGCCGATGATTCGAAAGCAGCATCGACGTCCTTGCAGCTACTACAAAGTGACCTCGATAGCTGTATTTTGTGCTGCTTCGAAAATGAGATGGTGTGCAACGAAAAGAAAAACCAGTTTATCATTTTTGGCAGCACTCGGGTCAAGGAATGTTTGTTTTTGCTGACGACAAGGTTGAAGATCTCGGTGTTACCCTGCATTTTGATCTAAACTTCAACCATCACATCAAAAATTGATTAGAGCTTTGTTACAAAACGTTTTTTGCTCTCAAACGCAGTTTGCCTTTCTCTTTCGCTTATGCCACCAAAACGAACTTATTCAGATCCTTTATTTTATCGTCCTTGTAATATGCATGTGAAGTTTGGTTCCCTTCCGAGTCCAATTTTGTTGCTCTTGAAACGTTTCAAAGGCGGTGTACAAAGTGGAGTACAACGCTCTTTGCAATCTTATAAGGACAGACTTGTCAAGTGTGATCTTTTTGCTATTACCGTACTCCTTCAGTTTAAAGACCTACTACTGTTCAACAAAATCATCTCAGGCCAAATAGATTTTCCTATCGGGGATTACATATCTATGAAACCCCAAACACGATTTGCCTTGAGAAACTAAGAGAAGATGTTGTTTCAGGAGCCAGTCATAAAGAAACGACATACCGACAATTTCTTCATTCCAAGAGCAGTACGTTACGCCAATTTCCTGCACCTCAACACGCCTATTTCAATTTTTGACACCCCTGCTTCCTTTTCCCGACTGTTAAAGAAATGCTTTGTCAAGTTTCTTAAAGTGGACTATGATGAAAATGTAAACCAATACTTCTGTAAATGATATCTTGATATTTAGTGCCTTTTAGTGCAATTAAGTTTTGTACTACTGATATTACTACTACTAATCGCAACTTGAAGGTAGCACTCCCCATGTAGACGCAATAATTCTCCTTGAACGTGACTACCGCAAATATTTCTGCTTTTGGTGCACCATATTTCATCTCAGTGTTGCTCAACACTTTACTGCCGTATGCAATGGGGCGGAGAACTGTTCTCGCATTCCATTTTTGCTCCTGACGCAGATTTCCGGAAATGGCTCCGGAAATAAGCATCAGAGTCGAGAACGTACATGCCTTTCTCTGTGGGCATGCCTAGCATTGTAGCACTGGCTTATATTCTCGAGGGCTTGCTGAGCTCTTTCATTCCTTTTTAATTTCTTTCCTTTGTTGCGCATCAGCTGCTGCATCGGGTAGACTTTGTCTGCGGATCGTTTCATGAAATCTCGATAATAATTTGCAAATCCTAGAAAACTCATCAGCTGCGTGGCCGTTTTGGGTGCCTTTCATGCCGAAACAGCCTCCACCGCATCTATCTGGATCCGTCCTCACGCCATGCTTATCTACCATTCTTTCCAGGTACTTTATTGAGTCGCTAAGGATCTCACATTTTGAGAGTTAAAATTCAAGCCAGCACTTCGTCGACTCTGTCAATGTGGTCTGCTAGGGTAGGTGTCGCTATCACTACGTCATCCACATAGCATATCACGAGATTCCCATACTTCTTTGTTATGCTGGTCAAAGCCTGAGCCATCGGATCGCCGTCGCTTTGCACAAGCCGAGGGGCATCCTCTTCCACAGGTTTAAGCCTAATTCACATACAAATCCAGACTTTTCTCTATCCTGTTTCAGCAAGGGAACCTTCCATAAGGCAGAACCCAGGTCCAATGCATCACCAAGTTTCGAGAGGCTCTCGTCTATGCGTGGAATTGGGTAAACGTCCTTTATGATACCCGCGTTCATGTAGCGAAAGTCGCAGCAGGATCGTAGCTGTCCTCCTTTCTTTTTGGTTTTTGGTCATGACAATCCCATAAGCCCAAGGTGACTTCGAGGGTTCTACTATTTCGTATTCTAGCAGCATTTCTATTTGTGCTCTGCAAGCTTCTTATTTATGAGGTGTCATACGCCTCGCTCCCTCTCTGTGAGGAAAGGCACTTTCTTCCAATTCGATCTCGTGCTCGACAAAATTACAACAACCAATATCCGCATGTATATTTACAAAAAAACGTCTGCG